ACTTTTTTTTTTTTTTTTAGTGCTAAATAATGTACTAATACAGTAATGTTTTTTCTTTTTTTTTTTTTTTTTTTAAAAAAAAAAAGCTTTCCTAAGATACGTATTTTGTATAAATTTAAATCCAAAAGCATCACAAAACTTTTCAAGGGTATAAAGTAACAAATACTAACTTTTCAAAAATAATTATATCCACAAAGCATATATTTTTCCATAAATATTTTTGATATAGATAGACTCATCTAACAAGAAATGAACAGTGTTTTCTCCAAGCAGTCACAATTAAGCAGTCCAGCTATCAACAGGGATATAACTTTTATAGCAAACAATCATTGCATCTTCACAAAGCAAAATGTTTGGGAATGTCAAATTTAGACATCTTGCTAATGAAAACAAACAAACAAAAAACACAAAAACCCAAACTCATCTATTATTTTATGCATTATGATTCACTGACAAAGAAATGGTTACCATGTGCTTTTAAGCTGGGAAAGTAGTGGCACAATTCTTATCCTCTTTCAGAGTAGATGTCATAAATACAGAAACTAGCAAGAGGCATTCTGCATCTACTAAAGAATAGTGGTGCAGAGGTGTTATAAAATGACTTTTCAAAGTAATATGCACAGTGGAATAATATACGTCATTAGAATTAAATAGCTCACTTTACATCTACCACTAAGGAGAAAAGCCAAATCTGTTCCCAATACCACAGAGATTTTACATACGGTGTAGTTTCCACTTAGCAATGTGTGACTTCTTGCAAAGTCTAACCAAGTTGTTTGAGTTTATAGGCTAACAGGTTTGCATCGTTATGTCAATTATTATTCAAGGAGGAAGATCTTCCCTTCCCTTCCCTTCCCTTCCCTTCCCTTCCCTTCCCTTCCCTTCCCTTCCCCAGCTTTCAAGGTGTGCCCAGTAAAGAGAAATGATTGGTTTTATAAATGATGTTTAACCCCTTGTGAAATCCTTTGGGTCTGAACCTGCTCATCTGTGCAAAGGGAGCAGGATTTGGTATTTGTTTTCAAACACTCTCAGCTGTGAAGTATACCCCTAGAGAAGAAGCATGGACTTATGCTGGACATCCTTCCGGCTCATCAGCACCAGGAGGGGCTTCCCTGACCCATGACTTCCCTGTAAGCAATCTGAGTCAGGGAGTGAGCGGGTGATGGATGGGCAGGTTGCAGTTAATAGACAGAAATATACTATGACAGAAAAAGAGCCTGAATGTAATTAAAAATCTTCTAGCATGAGTGAGAAATTGTACTTTATGCTTTATTTGCCTCTTCTATCCATTTTTTATTTTTATTAAATATTTCTTGCTTTTGTAAATTTCCATTTGGATCTCATAAAAAGGTGTTTTTTTTTTTTTTTTTTTTTTTTTTTTTCCTTCCCTCTTTCTCTTATCCTTAATTAGTGTGAATGTCAAACCTGTTCAGTAATCATGTAGCTTTGGGTAGTAATGAAGGCAAATAAATAATGCTTAACCTTTCACAGAGAGATCTGGAAACCCTTCCAAAAACAATTAAGACTTGTATGATTCACAGGAATTAACAAAGGTCAGCAAGTTAAGTTTCCAAACTTGTGTAAAAACAATATCATTAAAATAAGGTTGTGTGTGTGTGTGTAAGGGTGGAGAATAGATAGTCTGTCCTTCCTACAATATTAAACCCCTCTAATTTTAAAGCATTTGTTATGAGTTGGAGAAATTAGGCAATGTTGATTATGTGCTGATGTTGGTTGGGAGGATTTCCCAAGCTGTGTTTCTCTTGCTTTCTTCTTATCCAACACTCCCTGTGAATTTTCTTCTGCATGCTTGGCACACACTTTTCTTTCAGATAAGTTTTGATGCAAAAACAATTTGATGTGTCTGGAAACATTGCAGACAAATCCTTCTGTCCTGACATGGAGGCTTTGGCTTCTGTATTACCACATTTCTTTTCCAGACAATGCCTTCTCTCCTCTAGGAACAATTTCTTTGCATGACATGGAAGGGGAAAATATCATCCTCTATAATGTAGCCATTACTAGATCCTTTCATTACTACCTCAGCTTTTGTGCTGTTGGTTTATCACTGCACATCTTGTCCTTTTCACTGCTGTCAAAGAGCATACAAAGGCCTTTGTTCCCTGTAACTTGCATGACATTGTACACCTGTGCCTGCCAGTCATCTCTCCTCACAGGGTTTTATAAACATCAATACTGTAAAATTTCAATAAAAAGTTGAAAATTAAAGACAGAGATGATCAATCAATTTTTCAGACAAGATCTTTGGAAACATCTAATAAGGAGATCTCAAAGGCCTCATACCACTCTTTTGTGAGCTTAGGAAACATCAGTCTTTAGACATATCAACCAAACTTAGAAATGTAAATATGTGTGACTATGCACATCAATATATATCTACATATCTCTACTCAAGTAGTATTTGAACAACAATTAGGACCAGAAATAAAATGTGCACAGTTTACATGATTTAGGTTTTAAAGTAAGGGAACCTGAGTCAATCTAAAACCCAGAACTACAGGAAGATTTTTTTTCCTTAACTATATTCTGTCTAAAAATGGGAAAGTTTAAAAAATGGTCACAGCTGGAAACATGCTGTTAAAGTGCCAAAATGAACATCATAAATCAGCCCTGATGACCCATCAGAAATATAGAAAAAATAATCTTTTTCCAAGAATAACATATTTTCAAAAGCTTTGCCCTAAAATTAAAAATGAAACAAAACAATACAATCACAACAACAACAACACAAAAATAACAACAACAAAAAACCTTGTCTTGGCCAGAGTCTTAGTCCAGTGAAGTGTATCTCTATTTGCATGAATAATTTACATCACCTGAAAATGCAACCCCATTTCTGTAGGTAACCATCCCTTTTTAATCTATTGAATACTTAGACTCATGAACATCATAATAAATCAGTCACTCAAAATACCCTTCAAGTATAATAAGCATTAAAAATTAATAATGTCATGCTGGTTATTAATTTTGATAACCAAATAATTTGCATTAGTGAATTTACTTGCTATTTACTTATTAATGTTAGATTTATTTAACATGCAACAGTTACAATGTGTTACAAGCCAGTTCCCACTATTTGATTCTTTCACAGCTGTTCAATGTTTGGCTGATGCATGTTTGTTCCTTTAAATAATGATTTCCCTTTTATAATTTGAGAACTGTGATATGTTAAATAATTTTCAATAAAACATTTTGTTACTCTTAGATTATAAAGAAATAGTCAATAGTACAGTTTACCAATAAGAAGTTGGTATTAATATTTCTAAATTGCAGTCAAGTAAATTGAATGAAAAAAGGACATGTTATCCAAGTTGTGAAATAAGTGTTAAAACTCAGAATAGAAAAAAATAAAAATCAGATATTCTGCAGCATAAGCCCTATTTTTGTGCCAGTGGGTTTGATATAACACTTATTAGGATGTGATAACATTAAATGTATTTATAGATACAGCAGATAAAAGGGTAGATATATAATTGCTCTCTTTGGATTTGGAAATTATACTAAAAATATTTGAGATATTTGATACTCAAATAAAAATATTCTTAGACCCCAAAATCATGAATCAGTCTTAAAACTGTAATACATTTATTTCTAGCTTGTAACAACCTCTGAAAATAAGGGGCAACTGTCCATCACATACTTGTAACATAGCAAATGTGCTTACATTTAAGTGTTTTCTCAGAACTCGGATCTACAATTCAGAAGCTCAGAGGAAGATGCGATATATTACAAAGACTGAAGAGCTGAAATCATGCTCGAGATTTCCTTAACAGTCTGTAATATTTTACTTCTCTTGTATGTTTCCTGATGCATACCCAGCATCCTGTCATGAGCAGCTCCTCACCTCAGTACCAGATGGCAGACTCCGGATCTTCCCAGCTTCAATCTCCACTCCTTTTCTGCAGTAAAGGTGCTCTTTATCCACAGAAAACTGATACAGAACAGATCAGCCATAAAACTAAGACTGTTGGGCTGGGAACAGAGGGTAGCCAGGTGGATTACTTCAAAAGGAATTACCTGCTGCTGTCTGTGTTTTCAGACAAGAAAGAAGATTTGGCAGTTTTAGCCTTTGGCAGCCTTTTGCCTGTTGTCCATTCGTTCTCTTTTCTGGTGCTCCATCTGCTCCCCCTTGTTGGGCCAGCTAAAGAATCCAGTTGTGGCAGGACCTGTGGGTCCTTTATGCTACCTATAGGTAGCCTATAGGTAGCCACATAAAGCTACCTATAAATACCCTGCCATCTCCCCCATGTAGCAATACTTAGGGTTTGGAAACACAGCTATGAACTCCCTTATGAGCTTCTGGCTGGGCTGTCATAACACAAGAAGAAATAATAGACATGAACTGTTCCCTCAGCAGCTTGACAGAGCTCTCTTCCTGGTTTGTTAATCTTGAATCATCTCATGCAATAGAACAACTCCAACTGGAAAAGAGCTAATTCCACTATCCTTAAAAAGTCAATAAGTTGGTTATCCGGGCCGTCTCCTGTTAGAGGTTAAGCAGAAAGAGGAAGGAACAGAGCTTGGGTTTTCCATATGGGAACACTACATAAAATGATGTAAGACTGTTTAGACTTTCTTCTCTAAAAGGGAATACTATCCCACCACAAACAGCCACTGCCATATTTCTGTAACTAGGGCACCAGCAACTGATCAGAAGAGTTGACTCTGAGGACTTACCACACTTCTGAAAAGAGATTTTCAGCTGTTTCCCTTCCCTCAGCTTTTTCTGATTGACTAGCACTAAACTTCTCACTGTACATTGCTGATGTTCCTGAGATCACCAACTCCCCAGCTACTGCACAGGCAAATCAACACCAAGTTATGGGTTCCCCTTCACACATTAAACCTACACTTCAGGAATGCCCAGCTTCCTTTTTTGACCCCCAAAATCTTAGGCATTCACTTCAGATGAGAGCTGTGACCGTTAAATCTTCTGCAGCTTTGAGAAAAGAACCTGCCCAATATGACACAACTACATATACATCTTTTAGGTTTTCTTTATTTATATTTTTTTTTTAGTTCAAGAATTACACACTAGCCAACATTATTATATATTTACATGCTGAAACTGGCTGCAATAATTTTAAATTCAAGAAAATATCTCTTATGTGCTACTCATTTACAATCATCATTTTACTACCTCATATATCCCAGAGGTTAGCAGTCCTTTTGAGAAAGACATGAAGATCTGATGTGATGATATCCACTAGTATTTTGCATTTTCTAGCCATTGGAAAATGTGCATTATGTGCATATAAGAAAGGCTACAAGGTCATTAGTAAGGCTGATGATTACTACATTATGAATTAAATTGTACTAAGTAAAAAAGATAAATCAGAACTGTGCAAAGACAGTACTAACAGAACCATTTAAACACCCATGCAAATAAAAATGTGATAGAAATCATATCATAGCTTGTTAGAATTAATAATGTTTCAAATGTTCTTTTTGTCTTCAACTGAAAGTAACAGGACAGACCATGAACAATACAGCCTGGTGAATATCTGTCAAATGACACTAACAGTGAAAACATACAAAACATTATCAAATTGGAATAGATGACCTTATGTCTGAAAAAACATTAAAAAAATACAACCCTTAGTATGAAAGTATATGTGAGATTTTTCATCATTTTTTTTTTTTTTTTGTCAAAGCACTTACAAAGAAAATAATTTTATACTTATGAAATGTTTCTGTTGCATATTCTTGTACAGCTGAACTATTTCAATTTAATATTAATGGATATTTAAATTATTACTATTTTTACAAAGTAAATTGGGCAGTATTTTTGATCAACATTCCATTTGCTTCTTAAAAATTTAGACAAAGTTCCTAGTGCATTTTATTAAGCTTTACCTTTGGTGTTAAGCAGTGACTTAATAGATTTCCCTTTTAAACAATTTCTGGAGTTAAGATTCTTTGGCTTTGGGGGGACTATGCTATCTAACGACAGTCAAACTTTTTTTTTTCTCGAAAGAAAAACTGTAAGTCTACTATTAGATATCATAAGAGATACAGATTTCAGAAACAGACGCAGTATGCAGGCTTTCTGTAACAAAATCACTAACAGCTGAATTCTCATCTACCCTGGATTCCTTCATATCACCACTCACAGGAGCAACATAAAGGTACCTTATTGTATGTGAAAATCAGGCCCTATTTGTTTATGCTATCTGAGTACTGAGTGCCCGACTACTGTCTTCTGCTGCTTGAACATTTTAACCATACCAAAAAAAAAATAAAAAAAAATGTGCTAGCAGTAATAGAATCACAGCGGCTATTTTACACAACAGTACTTTCAATACATTTTTATATCTAGAATCCAAATCTTTTTATGCAAAAGGGTGTTTAAATTACTCTGCTAGAGCACTGCAATTATTGTACTTAGTAAAAAAAAAAGTCACTAAACAATTACTGTATCTACTGACTGCTCATTTACAGCTTATTTAATTATTTACATAATTTTAGGACACATTAATCTAAACCATAAATAGAATTAGCTTTTTGCCTTACCATAAAGTACAAATTAGAAGTTAAAAATGTTTAAGAAATCTGATAATATTTACACACGCTCAGCTTAAGTTATGGTTGCTCACATTTAATGTTTTATGTACACATAGCAAAATGTTATGATCTCTACTGATATAGTATTGTACCCTGGCCATCCCACTCTAGATTATTTTCTAGAAATAGTTAATATTTTTGTCATTTTTTCTTGGTTCCCTTAGGACTGTTTTTGAAAACTTACTAGTGGACAATGTTGTTATAAAAAGAGAGAGAAGAAATAGGCAAGCAATGTGAGGGCTAGTCTAATTTCAGATGCTAGGAGGTATAGTACTATCATCATGTCAAATGGTGCAATGCTCCATATGAATTATATGCATTGATCTGCTGATATAGAAATGCCCAGTTACCCTGTATAGTAAGTTGTTTTTTTTTTTTAAATACATGAATGTTTTTTTTTTTTTCAAAAATATATTCATACACTGATTGATGGCAGAAACAAAACTATTATTAGCTTATTCCTTTAACACACCAACATATGAATGTGTGTGCATATATATACACTCATCATTTGTGTATATACACACATATGTCCATACAGACATTTAGACATATGTCCATATGCACATATAGTTGGATAATGTTTAACATTTGTTCTCTTATGTTCAGTACTGTGTTAATTATAGAATTGTAACTGACTAATAATTATAATGAAAAGTATTTAATTTTAATGCATATTTTGTCTGAAGTAAGTAGGATTTGCTTCCCAGTTGTGAGACAACCTCTCATTTTCTCTATGCATTGTGCTTTTGTACCTTACAGATTTTATGTCTTTTGTATTAGAATGTAAAAAATCTCTGAAGAACTCTGTGACATACTGTTATCCATTTTCCTCCCCTGGGAATGAGAAAATAAATGTTCAAAATGTCATTGCTTGAGTCTTTCTTCCCAGTCATTAAACTGTAATAGGAAAGAAACGTAACATTCCTTATGCAAACACATAAATATGCTGCATGGATTTTCAGTTCTGAAAATGTTTATCATACTTATTAGCAGTCATATACAGTAGATATTTACAGATTGATCTCAAAGATTTCATTAAAACTGTGCCATTTTACAGTCATAATTTGCCCAAGATTTTCACAAAGATGAAAAACACCTTAATTGCTGGCTATCATGTCTTGTAGAACAATAAAATGTGCAACTATAATTACATTACAAGGTTCATCTAAATTATTAACTTTTATATTTTGCTTATTGAAACTAACAACAACCAACAGGATTAGTAAGATCTAGAATGTTGATTTTCTGCCAGTTCTAAAGCAAAAGCAAATTTCTTCTTGTTTACCTGGAGGGTAGCACACCCATTAAAACCCATATCTCACGTACATTGTCATAATTTCTCACTTTCACTCAAGTATCTCAGAAGAGGAGTGCTCACCTTGAGTTCTACTTTTCCCTTGACAGTGCCTTACCAGTCTTTCTTACCCGCATCTTTTTGTATCACAGTGTTCAGCCTTAGTAAAATATGATAACCACTCCTTTTCTGGAAGAAGCCTTCCCTTTCACTGAGTTTATATATCACATTAATAGCCAGAAGGACATAGTAAAAGCAAAAGAGCTCCTTCCTCCCAGGTAATACATCTGTCCTAGTGGTACCTGAGCAGAAACCAAACATTCTCTTTCACGCTCTGAATAGTGACATCAGAGAGTATTATGGCTTATACTATAACTTCAGATAAATTGATGTGCAGTTCTAGGATTCAGTTTTTGCAGCTTTCATAATTAGCTCATTCAGTAAATCAATGCAGAGAGTCAACATATTCTCTGTAGGGTTTCATATTTGAGGTGTATCAACCACAAACAGGTTGCCAGCTCCCTGTATTCACTCTATGCTTCTGTGAAATAAATAAATAAATAACAAATGAAAAAACACAAAGGGTTGGTTGGTAGCAATTTAAGAAATGAAAAAAAAACTTCTACAGAAGAATACTATAAGATGGCTTTTATTTATGATAATGGGTACCATTATTAAAGAACAGACTTTGAAAAGAAATTCTGAATTGTAATGTGGCACTTTTGAAGTTTTCTTTGAATTGGGAAAAAAAATCCAACATGGTTTACTCCTAACACTTGAAATTCCACATGCATCTACACAGCCTAGTGCATTGTGCATGAAATGCAGTCAGAAAGTAAGTATATGAATTAAAAAGCAACATTTTTTGACTTGGAAAGTTTATCATATGATGAAAGCTTGACTCCTACATGTTGCAGACTCCAAACCTGAAAGTAGTACGTGAACATACAACTCCATTGAGAACAATAGATGGTGTCTATGCCCAGCAAATCCCTTTTCTGGCTTAAAACTGTTCTCTCCTCATTGGAAAAGGAAATAAGCATGCCACATGCTCAAAGCAAAGTCAGAAAATCACTTATTATTTCACAGAACTGTTTTGTTCCCATCACTGTCATTGACTGTTAATGGGGGGTGAGGGGGAACCAAACACACTAATTTGCAAGAAAATTACTTAAAGCAAGAACAACAACAACAAAAATATTTTATGAAAAGTGTTCCTATGAACTACTTTAAAGCATTGCCAAAGTTAAACAGGGAAATAGTAACTGTCTGAAAAAAAATCTTTTGTTAGTTGGAAGGTACTGGAATTGGAATTTATTTCAGAAATATGTACGCAAATGAGAGGTAGCATAGATACAATAGCATGTGGCTTTTGTTTCAATATTTTCTGTTAAACAAGACTGCGGATCTGATTTTTAAAAGCCATCAGGAATTTACACTTTTTATACCATTCTTGGAAATGTTTATTTTTTTCATTACAGAAAATGTTTCCACAATGGACTAAATGGCAAACTCCACTTTAACCTATAAAATTTTATTTTTGTCTATTCTGTTTTGCCTATAAAATTAAAGCTCTATAAAAAAATACCTTAAACAAGTTTCCTACAGCAAAAAATGAATTTTGCTAGTTTGTCCAATGGAAAACATCCTAAAGCAGGAGACTTGCAAAAGGGTGGTGAGGCACTGGCACAGTCTGCCCACAGAAGCTGTGGATGCCCCATCGCTGGCAGTGCTCAAGACCAGGCTGGATGGGGCTTTGAATAGCCCGGAGTTTTGGGAGATGTCCCTACCCATGGCAGGGGGTTGTAACTGGGTGATCTTTAAGGTCCCTTCCAACCCAAACCACTTTATGATGCTACAGTGTAAGTAAACTATTAAAGCGATAGCTACCAAATCTTTCCCTTTAAAATAGTACATTAATCAAAGCAAAACAAAATGTGAAATGGTATTACCTACTCCAGACTGAGAAAATACCCTGTCAGTATCTTTGTACTGACATACATATGCTCAGATATTTACTGTTGAAAGAGGTATGATAACTTTAATCAAACTGAATGTTATGTGTTAAGCATAATGACAGTGACAAGCATAACACTAAAGAGACTGCAAACTTTTAAGAAATCACACAAACCCACATGAATATTTCAGACTAAGGTACATACTATGATTGACAACATTCATTTGCAATGTTTGTGTATTTATGCCTGTATACACAGACAAGTAGGTATAGGAATGCACACAGACATATATACACACACACACTCTTATGTAGCCTTAGCGTATGTAGCCTTGTTTTTTCTTGGTGCTTGATTTTTAACTGTTCTCTGCCTTTCAGTAGAATGCCAGGGCACCATTGATTTCCTTCAGCCACCTAGAGAATTATCTGGCCAACCAACTTTTGGCACATTGGAAAAATGATTCCCCTTCCCCAACACAAAACAACAGCATGTCTTACCTATTCAGGACATGATCACTTGATTCATTTTTATACCACTGCTACATTCCTCTACAGATCACAACCACAGTCATTGAGACTCCAAGCATATGCTATCTCTTTAAAACCCAAACAAAACTAGTGCTTTATGCTTCAGCATCTGTGCAAACACCCAACCCTAATATTATCAGTCAAAGGTTTAGCTCATATAATAAACAGGAAATACCTGAATATGATTGGGAAACCTCTGAGCATCATCATCTTGGAAAGATGATAGGCACTACTTGTTTTCAAGTTTACACCTTTAAAAGGTAAACCGTGTGTTTTATAAGCATGATAGCAGTACACTCTCTTAAGTTTAGATGCATGTCTTGTACACAGTTTCACAGGGAATGGTATATACTGCTGTTGAAATTAAAACCTGTTACACCTGTAATTTGTGTCACTAAACTTACATGAGCACTAAAAGAAGATTGCGGGGGAGAGTGAGACAGAGATGATTGTCAGAATCTAATTTGCATTTGCATTTGAATGCACTTATAGTTTGATAAGGGTATGTGTCTATACTGCAAATGTACATATTTATGATTTAGCAGGAATAACCACAATGTTACAAAAGCAGACCAGAGAGTGGGCCAGCAACTAAGGTGTTTTAAAATAACTTTTTGTCCTGAATAGAATTTTTCTAAGTCCCACTTTTGGCTGTACAACTGATTTGAAGAGAAATCCAGTTCTTGCTTCCTGTGTGGCTTTGTTTCTTAGTTCACATAGTAAAGCCAATAGACAATATTGAAGAAGGAAAAAACAACAGGGAAGAATATGCGTGACCATCTATCTATGGCATTTACATCAGTCAAGTCAGGGATGGTAATTTTCAGTTGAGATGCACGTCTCCGTAGCCTACTTTTCTTCTGTGCCACGTGCCGCTCCAGGGCATTGCGACCAAAGCTGTGTCTGGGTAAGCCAGCTTTCCGGTACTGGATGCTTGAAGTGTCATAGGCCAGCATCGTGCTCCTAGGGTCCCCAAGCCCCATCACAGCCTCAGAGGCAGCCATCTCATTTTTAATTTCAAGTGTGCTCAACAAAATATTTTCATGTGGATCCATCTGTAAGAAATAAGAAGGCAGATTTAACAAGGTAAGAAAAGAAGCCCATTCAATTGCAAATTGAAACCATGCTGGCTACTCATTCTTTGGATGCCAGCCTGTCTGAAAGACTTTAATCATAGCTGTGGCTATATTTTTTGCCAATTATCTGTGAACTCAGGGAGCAATATGGCTGATATCATATAATGAAATAAATGTTATCTCTCTAGACCCTATATTTAGTCAGCAGAAGCAATACCTGCATGTGGTGTATATGCTCAGCTCCTGAAAGTGAGATTTTGCCATTGGGTAGGATATCTGGGGCTATTATTCTACTTAGTAGGGTTTATGGAGTGAAAGCAGGTGGAAAAGCCTTTGCTTTTTATTTGTTATACAAGAACTTCAGGTATTTGCAAGGTGTCTGCCTCTATAAAAAAGAGGCCTGGAGCATTGCACAGGAGGATGCACCTTTTCACTCCCCATTTGCAGACAGGACTACTGCTTACATGGGGAAAGATTCTGGCATAGTGTAACCATCTGGAATAGTATAACTATCTCCACTCCCCAGTGCTAATGTGTTATGTAACTACAGTGTGCATGTTGTGGAGACCTGAACACTGGAATAGCAGATGGTTGCAATTTAGAGCAAGGAAAAACTCAGACATATAGTTCAGAGTGTAATCACATCAAATGTGCTTTGAACACTTGTTTCAATAAACAGTTTTGACTAGTATATATATATATATATATTTAAGACAGTTCAGAGAGCAAATGTGAATGCAATTTTGAATATAAAATCTTAGAAAGTTAAGATTTCAAATATGAACCAATTCCACTCTTGGTCAATCTGAAATAGATCTGAAATATCGTAGAACTTCAAAATAAGTAATATATAGAAAATTAACATAAGGTCATTTAAGGAGTTCTAATTCTCCTCAGCCTCTCCTCCAAGCATATATTTTGAATTGTGAGTATAGAGCATAATTCAATAAAAATACTTTCAAACTCAATAATAGCTAGTGAGCAGCTAAATAACTACACTGACTTGAGTGATGGCAGTGCAGGTTATACTCCAGGCCAAATAAGAAGTGGAACTGTTCCAGAGCTCCTTTAGGAATAACTCATCCATTTTAACCATTTATCATGTACATATTATATACTATGATTATTATTGAAAGTGCACAAATTGTGACTTTTGTGAATTTCTAAACAGTAACATAGAATTAATTCTTTTGTAATATTTAAAAGCCATCAGCCACCACCAGGCACCTCAGTGTGCTACCTGATAAAGCACAGTATTTGCCATTAGCTAAAAAAAAAAAAAAGAAAAAGAAAAAAAGCTATGTCACTTCTTAATAGCATCCATTGCATAGTGAAAGATAGGTACTCACAAAAGTACTTTGGACCTACTGAAAACATTGCCATTTGGAGTGATTACATCTGTTCAAGTGATGCATGAAAATCAGCATCATTGAGATGCCAGATTTCCCTTCTATTTTTCTCAATTTTTGAGAGTTTGCACCCCTCTAGTTTCATTATATTTTACTTTTAGATTAAATGTAATGACTCAGTGTGAAACAGCCAACATCACTTACTTTGCTTGCTTCCAATCACAACTATATGAGATCTCTGAATTTTCTAGCTAGAGAAATCAGCGTTTGCTTTTGAGAAGCACCAGGAAAAATAGGAAAGTTGGGCTGAAACTCATGAAGAATTCCTTTAAGTACTTGATAATGAACACAGCAAGGAAATACTGTGTTCTAGCCAGGAAGATCATCAAATCAGTTCTCATACGCATGAAGCAGAATTAAGGCAAAAAGTGTATTCTGCTATTGTAATACGAACAAAAGCAAACATACAGAAAATTATCAAATAGATATATGAAACTTCACAAGAGGGTCTGCAATTATTTCCTTATAATGAGTACAGTTATTTAGAAATTTCTGTAGAGATTTCTGGAGACAAAATTGGCTGTCATAAGACTGAAAATAAAAACGATTGTTAGATCTCAAGAATTAAAAAAAAAAAAAAAAACAACAGGTAAATTATCTTACAAGAGGGGTGCAAAGACATTTTGGAAACTACATTGTTCATATTTTCACATATCCTTACAAAGACAAAATAAATTTTAGTTCCAATGACATAAGGGGAAATTTGACATAACATTTACTAATACAAGGGCTTTACCCCAAAGCCTAGAGCTTGGGTTATTTTCACCTATGTGTTGTGCATTCTAAGACACTATCTTTGGAAAGATGTCAGTGCCAACAAATTTGTTCACCTCTTAAATATTCTTAGTCTGAATACACTCTAAAAATTTTATCCTTTTGATCTGCAATGATATTAGAAATTTGAGTGCTCTTTACATACTCATACACTTTGCTATGGAACACAAATATAACAAAAGTTATTTTAGTCTACCAGAGTTTAAAATAGACAGTGTACAGCTGTTATCATTCTCTCAGTTAACTTTTTGCTTTGATTCATTTGACATTGGATTTTATATTAAAATCAATGAAGTAAGAAATTTACTGAATATATGTTGCTAACACAGAAAATTGCTGCATATATCTGGCAATCTTTGGCAGTAGTTAGCAATATTAGTGATGGTGGGCAGAAATAACATCCAGCAATATTCTAGACTATCTTCTAGGGCAAAGTGTCTTCTTCTGCACATACCACACTGATATAGGAGTTGGAACAAAGCATTTCTCAATATTCCAAGAATTTCTCATAAGAAATAATTTGAAGTAAAGTAAAAATTAGTGATGGGCGAACCTTCAAGTGTTAGAACAGACAGGTAAGCACCACAAAGTTCAGGTGCTTCTCCAGCACAAATCTGAATTTCCTGCACCCATTACAGTGATTGACAGTTACAAGAACTGACTTTTTCATAGTATTTCGAAGAATTCCAATCCAGTTCCAATCTAGAAGTACAAGTAAATGAGTAAATATGAAAATAAATGAAACAGCAACAATAGAACAAAATTAACCCTGACTTTTCAACCTCTGACAAAAGTTTCCTCAGTAGATTAGAGAGAGCTGGAAGTGTTATTTTCACCAAGCAGGTTCGCCCAACTCTAATAAAACATGCTTCACAATTAAGGGAAGTGTGAGATAGAATGTTAATGATTTACATTTATTGTACACACCACCACCCATTCAAAAGGATCCCAAAGCGCTTTACAAGCATTAGAAAGTAGAACCACTTCCCACTGAAGTGCAATCACCTCTGAGGTGAAGTGCTGAACAATACTCTATATTTTAGTCAAGGAAATGGAGAATGCTGTAGCCAATTAAAACTATGGGGTGGGTGAGTAGTGGTGGGGAATGTTAGGTAAGCAGAACAGTTACATAAATTGATATTTGGCCGGATGCTTGGGGCTGAGATGACCACTCTATAAAAAAAAAGTGCCATGGGATCTTTAATGACCATAAGTGGTCAGGACCTGAATCTTAAGTCTCTGAGGATAAAAGCAGAAAACAATGAAAGATACCTTTGTTGAATACATTTCTGGACAATGATATGTGCCAATTATTCTTCTGTCCTGTAAGTTAATAAAATCAAGACCAGTTTCCTTAGAGATAAGGCAGCTATTATCTTTCATTTAAAATTAAAGCACTCTAGGGTATTAATAGGACAACTAATTAGAAGATACAGGGACCTCTAAGCCAACAATTATCATAGGTATATTCTGGCTTCAGAGGTGCCATTACTGCCTTGCCCTGGTACTCAAGGTAACATAACTTTGTGATGTGAATGTATTTTTTCCAACTGGTCACTGTGACCAAGGAAGATATGATGATATGAAAACAACTGTTAAAATTATTCTGGGGGAAAAATAAGTGTAAAAGTGATTTAAAAAGAAGGTGGCAGAAGGTTAGAAAGCTCTCTCGGTGCTGAAGGATTGTTCAACCATACAACTAGACTCTTTATGGTGAACAGGAGAATTCAAACAATGGAAAAACTCCCAGGGGCAAGGAACAAAGGGAGGATGTGAAGATGAAGAAAAAGCAGCAGCAAGGGCCACGAAAATAAAAAAGGTGAATGTGGAAGTGAAGGAGAAATGACCAGAGCTCAGCAACCATGCAAGAGAGTTTGTTTTTTCTTAAAATCAATCTTAAAGGTGGATGAAAAAATATATGATATAAATGATATTCACTTATAGGTCCAGGTCAACCAGTGAAAAAGCTGACTCTGGAGCCTAGAAAGTGGCCATGACATTTTGATGGCCTCAAAGAGAATAGAGGAAAGTGTAGAAATGTTACCATTATATATTCTTCCTGCTATCTAGACATTCCAAAATGATGGCTATCTTGAGGAATTCCTCTTATGCTAATATATTAGCAACTGCAAAATACAAGGAAATTACAACTCTCACAATCATACATGCAGGCAGACATATGTACATTAGGAATCCTCCAACGATGACCACATCTCTGAAACTAGTAACATCTAGTAAACCAGCACCTTGGTGATTAAACTTTGCTGTTATGCCAAACAATTCAATAGTAGGAGGTAAATTCATACTCATGAATTGAAAAGATATAGTATTGTCCCTTTTTGCTTTCTCATATTCTATTCTTTTTCCCCTGTAAGGTAATCTTCAATTACAGGCAGGTACTGATGGCTCACTTTACGGCAGGATGGCACAAATACCATGGATGAAACACTCAGCAGGACTGAAATTTCCAAATGAAAAACTTTATGAAACAAAACATTTGTAAATTCCATAGAAATAGTTGTTTGATAAGTAAGGCTGCCATTAACTAAAAGAAAATATGGTAAGCTAAACCAAGAATGGAGAACAGGAGTCGCTGGTCTGCTACAAAGTTAACACTACAGATTAGGTTTCAGCATTTATAGGTCCTGTGAACCAACATTCTTAAGAAGTGAAAACACAGAAATAAATATCCCTGTAGCAGTGAAAGTCAACGTGGCATGCCTAGATATATAATTTAATTTGTTAGAGATAAAACTATTAGTGTTATCCATAGCATACTTCCCCACCTCTTTGTTACTGAACTTTACTTAGAAAACCAGTAACAACCCATTCCTGACTAATCTTAGTAGCTCTAGCAATATTAGGTGACAGTGCAAAACACTCTTTACATATAATAGGGACCTCCCACTTCATCAGTACGGATTGCTTTATTGTTCAGGAACCACTGATCTCTGGGGATTGCACTGACTACTCAAGGTAACACATAGAAGGTTTTATATAAGATGCTGCAAGTTTCACTCTGGAAGAAAATAGAAAAAATGATTTTCAAATGGCACCTACCTACAGTTGTACAGACAATTCTACTGAGACAAAGCTATATCAACTAATAAAGCACAAATGCCTAATATTTTAAAACATCTATATGTGAAACAATGCCCTAAGAACGTAACTAACACTGTATTTCCATTGTCTGTATAAGATGAAAATCATTGCCAGCATTGTAGTAACTGTTTATGAAACCACATTAGGATACTTTGACTCAGTTTGTGTTATACACCTAAGACATGAGTCAGGCTGTAAAGTATGCAGTTAGAGGACAATAAAAATAAGTTGACTTATAATTTTGGATTATTTTATTTCATTTCAGATCAGAAAATCCAGAAAAACTCTCCAAATTCAGTTGTGATTTTCTTTTGGGTCTTGAGCTTCTCAAAGCCTAAAAATCGAAGAAAAAAAAAAAAGGCAAGCCAATAAGAAATAAAGAAAAAAAATCAGAAAAAAATGTGAGATCTGGACACAGAGCTTTAAACACTTTTCTAATTCCTTGTAATTCAGCTTCTAAGCATCTATTTTTACCCTGCAACATATGTGATTTCTTGATCATTATCATTAGTAACACATCGGTAAATTAGTCGTTAAGCATTGTTGAACTCTGGAGTAATGGTTGAAAACATATGCATTCTTTTGGCATCTATTACTTACATACAAGATTCCATACTTAAGACATTCTAGAATAAGTGCTTAAATAATATTAAAAAGGGTGAACTATCTTTGACTTGAAACCGGAATAAAAATCGTTCCATAGGAACTTGTGCAAACTACTGCATGGAATCTAACATTCTGAACCAAAATCCAGCAAGCTAAATATACAAAACCAGGGGGAACATAGGGAGAAACAGGAAAATTGCCCTTATTTCTGTCCTGAGGCCTGAAGCTTACACCAACATCTTGTGAAATATTATGAAAAAAAAATATAAAAATTCTGTTCTGCTTTTTTTTTTCTTTTCCTTGAATAAAGTGGGCTAAAGCACCTTAGCCAATCAAGAAAGAAAGATGTAAAGTACACTGTAATCTACAGAAATATATACAGAAATACAGAAATGCATCTTCTTCCATCTCACCTTTGACCAAGATAATTCAGTACAATGCAATCTCTAATATAAAGTGGAAGGAATAAATTACTTAAGGTCTTGATCTTGCACATAAAATTTCCATTCCAGTATAGAAAATATAGTATACCATAAATAGTAAACAAGTATGTAAATCAGGAATGGAGCTTGTGACTTTCTTTAAGTGGATACATTAATTTAATGGGACTTAAACACATACTTAGGTTAAGTCATGCTTTCAAGTGATTTCCTGACCTGTGAATGAGACTGTCACTTTTAATCCAAAGCCGCAAATTGTTTCCTTCTTCTGTGTATATGCAATGCTTTATTTTAGTCTACAAGAATATGTTACAATGGTGGATCTAAATACTAGTTATGATGAATTCTAGCTGGTAAGTTTTTTTCATTTGAATAAAGTTTGTATTGATGATATTTAAAGGTAGTTGCCCTCTCTTCTGGAAGCTTTAGGTACAGATTTCTTTTTTTGTCCTTTAGACTGCAAAACAATCATTCAGATCAATGTCTTGAGTAAGTGACTGCATTTTAAAAATTGAACCTTTCCACACACAAACAAACAAACAAACAAAACAAAACAAAACAAACAAACAAAAAACAATCAAATAAAACCACAATTCTTCTACAGTAAAGTGTAAAAAAATCTCTAGGATAAAAGTTGCAAAAATTAAAAATGAATCTCTCTGAACCACCTGAGAGCATGTATTTCTACAAGGCCAACGCTATAAACACTAAAATGGAAGAAAATTAATCTTGAACCAGAAATAAACATAAAGAAAGTGATTTAAGTAGAACTGGACTTTTTGAAATTTCAGCTTCAATTTTCAACCATATTTCTTTACTACTGAAACATTAAGAAGGAAGCAAAGGTAGGATATTTAGAATAGAAATCTCCTGGAGTACTGATTAATGACAGTCATACCTTTTCACCAAGAAACAAGGAATTAGGCAGCTCTCATTCTTATTAATACTTCTCTAACAATATAAATTGTTTGTTAAAGTGTCATCAAAGTTACATGTATGCATTTAACTCTCTTCAAGATCCTGTAAATGAAAAACAAACCTGCAAGAGCATTCGAGCATTTTCTTTCTGTAGTAGTTTCCATTTCCTCTATGCCCATAAACCACGTTTCCTATTATGCTGTCTTGCAAAATATACTTTAACTAGCTAGAATATATAGAGCTAGCACCAGAAATCTACTACAGAAACACAGTAAAATTTCTTTGATATATGTAGAAAAGCTTCATGAAAGATGAAAAATACATGAAACATTTGATTATCATTTTAACTGGCAAAATTTCAAAGGTATAATTTGAATATAATTATGGTTCTGATATATGAACTGGGCAGTAAAAATAGGGTTGATAAAGTAGCTTTTCTAGAACAGACTTTTATAAAATTCATAGATGCTACTTTTCTTGCTTAAAGTCAAATACAACATGGAAAGCACGACACATCATGCATTTGTCATAAAGGTCAGTGGGCTGTATGGCAGTCTACCAATGTTTCATTCTCCTGAAACTTCCATCCATTTGCCTACAGACTTAGGCTTGTGATTTTGTAGAAGAACACCACCATGATTCATGGGCTCAGCCCAAAAAGTGACATGGTCAAAGGCAGTAGAACATACAAGGAAAGATTTCAGGAGCAGTGACAAATGTCAGACAAAACAGTAGAGAGAAATTCAATTGTGGTGAATTTGACTCAGGAAATTCCTGAGATTTTTTATGGAAAAAAACAGTGTCACATTTTCACTGTGGGGAAAATGAAGATGAATTTCCAATTTTTGACACTATATTTTCAAATTAAAAAAATCTAGAAATGTACTTATGATCATGTTCAGGGCTGATATAGAAGCCTGAAACACTGCCAGTTTAACAGCTATAGATTTTGCAAGGCTCAGAGGACTGGTTCTGACAATATTAAAAAGAACAGCACTTAAAATAATCAGAAAATCTGAATTTGTTGACAGAATTAGAATATTCCTGCATGATTCACCTACATGCTGATAGTCTGATGTTTTGGGGAGAATCTAATGTTTTGTCACTCATTTAGAAATGAGTGACAAGAATGAAAAAAACTTTGTTGACAAGAAATGCTTAGTCATTTCAGATTTGTTTCTAGGTAAATTTCTGTATATTCACTATATACCAATATTGTGTATCATGCAAATTATATAGCAATATTATGCACCTTTG